CCCCAAAACCCCAAAACCCCAAAACCCCAAAACCCCATTCTGAATGCCTAAATAGAATATAGATAAATAAATTGAATTTTATAAAATTTCAATTAATTCCAAGAAAGCCAAACTTAAATTATGGAAGATCAAGTAAGCTCTACCCTCCCCAAACAAAGGCCTAAATGCCCTTTAATTCATCTAAAAAGTGAACATTTTAAGGAAATGGCATACTTGGCCTAAACACATAATCATTTATCTCCAAAATTTAAATCAAAAAGATCAATTACCCCTCATCATGAAATCTCTTCAGCTCTAACTAATCTCCCTTCAACTTAAATCAAAGACATCCTAAAACACTCTCTATAGACAAGCATGGCTACCAAAGAGAGTAGCCTCAACAGCAGAATCAAGCTGAACTCCTATAGCATCAACACCAGAAATCTCGACCATACGTATGAGACCCTATCTGAAGAAATATAGCTCCACTAAGGACTCTGGGTGGACTTCAAAGTGGACTGGAATGAGCCAGAAACAGGACAAAAGTTTATGCCAAGATTACAGTAAGATAGGTTTAGAGATATAAGGACTAATTTTATAGGCTTCCTTAATAAAAGAAGGCAAGTTAAAAGGAAAGGGAGATTTTACAGAAATATAAAAGCAAGAAAGATCAATTTTCCCCAAAGTAGCTTTGGGAAGTATGGAATTTTAGAGGACCTTATAGGCTTTATAGTTCTAAAAGTGCAGTTAAACCTCGAAGAAGATGTAAGGTTAGCCATAATGCTCTCTTTTGCTTCTCTCCTATCGAGAAAGAGATAACCAGTGATCCAAGAAGAATGAATCGTTCACCAGGTATGGCTAAATATATGAAAATAATTTATATTAAAATTTGCTCTAATTTAACATCTTTTTAAAGATTTGAAAAATACTCAACTGATTAACACGAAAACACCAATTGAGAAAAAGTAAGTTTAAGCTAATATCTTTCGAGCAGCTTAATTTTATAGTTCTCAGTTATCAAAATGCCCAAAACATTCAGGGAGAGCAACCAGATTTTCGACTAAAATATTATACGATTGGAGCAAAACATCTCCTTTAATAGAGCAATCTAAAACAATGCTTGATCAATGCAAAGGAATGTGTAAGTATCCTCTTATGCCATATTTATCAAAAATTGCTAAACTTGAGAGACTAATAACAAATCTCAACTATTTTTGAATTTCTCTAAAGTTTATTTACCAAACTCAAAGTTTAAAATTTCTCTTCAATAAATGGCATAAAGCAAAATCTAAATAAAACCTAGCATTTTTTTATCCTCTTTTCCTTAAAACTTGAAAACTCAAAACTATAAGTTCGGAAAATATGTAATATTTCAACTCGGAATAAAACCAAATAAATCAAGTTAACCTTAATCCCAGTGTAAAAACATGCCTTTAAAACTTTCATACGCTAACCTTCCCGAATAGTATCAAATTTGGAAGAAAGATACCTATCAAACCAAAATCTCAGGGATAGTAGGTCTAAAAAGGTGATTTCTCCACTCCAAGATTACAAAGCCAAGAGATCGAAACTAGTAGCAAGAAGGAGCTCCTACATAGAGTCTAACTACCGGTACAGATTTATCCCAAAAGCTCTTCAAGCAGATAAAGACTACAAAAGTTTTTGTGAGGATGTCTACAAAGAAGAGCTCCAGAAACAGAACAGAAATCCCTTCCAAATCTGCCAGCTCAGGGATAGCCAAAGAACCAAAAGAGATTACTCAGTGCTTAAATAAATGGCTCAGAAAGCTCGGGTTCTTTGATAGATACCCTGAACTCATCATGGATAGAGTCTGAGAGTGCCTCACTGCTAAAGAATATTCCAAGTACTGAAGTAAAGTAACCATATAGAGACGAGGTTGTCATTAACAAAGGCGATGAAAGCACATTCATGATCATCCTATTCACTGGTAAAATTGGCATATATTTGTATCCTTTGAGAGAACTCAGAAAGATTGGAGTCGAAGATAACTGAATTGCTTGCATTGGAGACCCATCTGTCTTAGGTGATAGAGGTTTGCTTAACAAAGAACCCAGAACAGCTACTTGCCTTGCTCAACAAGATGTGAAAGCTTTGTATATGTCAAGGCATAATTATGTTAACATTGTTGAGAGCTTTCACAAGACCCAACTGAAAATGAACTTGGATTACTCGAAGTCTTTGGAAATAATGAAGGACATGGATATCGAAAGACTGACACCCCTCACTCATAATTACAATAACTCAGTATATTCCAAAGGAAATGTGATAGTTGACTTCAATGCTACACCAATGCAGTTATTCATCCTTAAAGAAGGAAGACTAAAAGTGGAGAAATAACTTGACAATAAAACAGACCAATCTTTGGCCCTCAGGGGTACAAAAATGGACGATGCATGTAAATAAATAAACAAGTCATAAAACAAATTGAGTCTATTGAAAAATAACCAGGTATTTGGTCTCTATGAGCTCCTGGCGAAAGAACCAATACATTGACGAATTTCTGTGGAGTCTGAAAAAGGTAAGCTAACTTATGAAACTTTTACAACTTGCTAAGCCAAAATTGCTTTGGAAATTATTAAGTTATATATAGCTCATATTATATCAATCAATAGCAGTGATCTCAAGCAAGCCTTTAATAAGGACGCATTATACTCTATGCTTGAGTATAAATCATGAATAAAGTTCCCCAAGGACTCTGAAGTCATATCAGAGGTTATCAGAGAAGTAAGTTTTAGCCACAGTCTCTGAAATTTCAATCCAAACATAGCATATCTTGATACAAAACAGGAAACTAGTCGTTATGGACTGATAGCTCTAGAGTATTTTAAGATTTCTTTCTCATTAACAAGATCTTTATTATTTATAAATGGTTGATAATTATAATTAAAACTCCTAATTATGGTCTAAAACGTATTCATAATGGCTGTAAAAAACTATCTGAAATATGAATTTAAGCTTCAATCAATATTTGCCCAATTTTGCAAAAATCACCAGATCGTGCACATTATTAAAATATTAAAATTCCTTAAGAATAAGAAGAATCAATTGTTGAGTCTAAACCAGTTTTAATCACAATTATGAGAAAGTAAAGTAATGGGACTTATACCAAGATTAGTTGTAAACTCAGTTTTTATCTTGCTCTGAAACTTCTAAAACTTCTCCATTTTATGGTTTTGACTCTTCAGTATATAATTTCATAAAGATAGTTATAGTAGCTCTTCTTCAGCTTCAAGTCTAGACAAGGCTTGGATAAATTTTAAGGCTGCAAGAAGTCCGCTAACAATATTCAACAGGGAGAAGTTTTGTTACATTTATAAATTTCCAGACTAGTAATCGACTCATTGCATTCATCCCAACACCTAATAAACAACACAATACCTTCATTACTTGATTTTCATAATTCCCAAAAAACCCTTTTCCACTTTAACCCCAGAAGGCCTAAAAACCCAATTTTCCAGGCCTAAAAACAAGACCTCTCCCCTCCCATCCTCTCTACCCCTCCAAAATAGGTCAAAGAGCAAAAACTCCAATCCAAAATCCTAGCCTCCTACAAAAACCATAGACGAATATCCCACAGTCAGCATCGGTTCAGTCAACTCTAACCACCCTTCCCACACAAAATCCCCTAACAAAAGTTCCAATATTGCCCTTAAAATCTTCAATAAGCCAAATCCATTTTGGGGTTTTGGGGTTTTGGGGTTTTGGGGTTTTGGGG